TACACATAGGAAGAATTTAAAAGCATAAAAGAATTTTATTTAAAACTCATATTTTGTATAATGTACTTGTAAACTTATATATATTTAATAAATAAATTTGCTTTTAAATAAATACTCAAATTAGCTTCAAAATAATAAAGTATTAAATATATCTTATAAATCAAATATGAAATTATTATAATTAAATATTGCTAGCGAAATTTTTGCCATTTCGTAATAGAACGGCAATATTCTTTGTTAATCTATCTAATGCTTTTGTTCCTTCAAAGTTTCTTGATATATAATTAACAGTAAATGTACTTTGAATAAATGTGCATAAATATGATATTGAATTTTGAGCACGTAATTTGTCCATATTTGTTGTACTCAACCACTGATTTAACATATTAATAGTTGTAGATTCATCCACAAAGGCGATGATTTCTTCTTTTTGTAAAGGACTTGTTATAGAACTATAATTATAATAAAAGTATATTACTTAAAGTCAAAGTAAAGAAGAACTGAAAGAGTAATTGATACTACACACTAACCAAGTTCTTTTTTCTTTGAATTCTTTCACTAATTTTTCAACATTATTAATTAATTTGTTATGGAAATCACCGAAATGTTTTGTAGCTATTTGAAGCTATTTAATTCCTTTAGCTAAATTGAGATCATATTTGATAATCTGCTATACTAAATTCCCAATCACTTTTCTTGGAGGATTTTAAACACAAAAAAAAAGACACTTTAATTTCTCCAAATAGTCTCAACTAGCTTTCGTCTATCAAATTAATTTATTAATAATTTATAAAAATATTAAGAAAAAAAAAAGCAAACTACCTTATCATATGGATTTGATATTGTAGTTGATATTGCTGAAAGAATAGAGAGTGTAAATCGTGAGCTATCTGCAGCTGGAGTTTGCATTGAAAAATTCATACAATTTGCAAGCTACAAAATATTCGGATTTGAATATAACTACAAGCAAATCTGATAAATTGACATATCATTAAATAGTGACGAAATAACTATATTATTAAGATCAAAATGGCCAAGCATATTATTAGAGGAGTTTGATTCTAGAGTTGATGACTTTCTTAAAAGTGTAACTGTTGAACTAATCAGATAATGATAGAAATTATTTTAAATATTAGTATTAGTTCTTGAATCCAGAATTAGTAAGAGATATCTTGAAGACACAATACTTGGCTCTAAAGTTGGTGATGACTGTCTTGATGGTGAAGTTGCTTAAAACACTATCCTTGACCCTAAGACTGGTGATTTATTTCTTGGTCTTAGAGCTGATGATTGTTGTCGTAAAGATATAAATAATGAAGATCAAGACAGTTTATCAAGACTTGCAGTTTCATAATTATCTAAAAAGAGAATCATGAAAAGATTACAATATAACAAAGCTATAATGATAAATTTATAAATTAATCATACCTTGAAAATCATCAACAACTAAAAAGAGAATCATGAAAATATCATAATATAATAAAATCAAATAATGATAAATTAATTACAATATAATAAAATAATAATGATAAATTCACGAAAGTAATCGTTATCTTGTAAGTTATCAGAATTATTTAAAAGTTCATCACTTATTTGTGAAGATGAAGATGCAACTGCTTCTTGTTTCTTTTTATGACCTTGAACATTATTATCACCTAAACAAAACTACTGTATAAGACATCATATAACTAATTAATAAAGCTCCAAATAAAGATAAATCTTGCTTTGTAAATTGCTAGCACCATTGATAAGTTCGTTGATTATCTGTGAAGACGAAAGTGTAACTGTTTTTTGTATTTTTTTTCGACTATTATTATTATCTAAAAAAAGAATCATAAAACAATCATAATTAATTGAAAAATCAAAAAAGGTATATTTGTCTTGTAAGTTGTCAATATCATTTGCAAGTTCATTCATTATTTATAGAAATGATGATGCAGCAATTTCTTGCTTCTTTTTGTGGTCTTATTTTTTAGCAATATTTGAGTTAACTTGTGAATTATTGATACTAGAATGATTAATTTCCTTTTTTTTACGGCCCTGTTTAGCACTAGTGAAAATTTTATCATTTGCAAGTTTTTTAGAATTTTTAGTATTCATGTTTAGCAGTAAAGTAAAAAAAAAAAATACTAATATATAATATTTATATATAAATATTGAAAGTTTATTACGTAGCTTTGATTATTAATTTTTAGATCATGATCAAACGATATCACGAGATAAAGAATAGCTTTTTGCTAAAGGCTTTTTTAGCATTATATTTGTTATCTTTCTTTCAATAAAATTTTATCTTTTACAATATCAAGAGAAGCATACAAGTTATAAATACCTCGAGATATGATATTATTTAAACAATCATCTTATTACAAATTTGCAATTATACATATATCTAAATTGCCTCTTCTAATAAATAATTATTATACCTCACATATGCTTTCAATATTACCTTCATAACATATTATTCTTGCAGCTCAGAACTATTATTAACCAAGTGGCTATTACAAGTTTAAAATCGAGCAAGTCCTTGAGTAATAATGTAACTATTATATTTCAAGAAAGAGATAGAAAGGCTACTGTGATATATATTAATTCAGCACCAATAGTTTCTTGATTTTATTCACAAGAATTTTTATGATACTCAAGAGTTCAAATCCTAATGAAAATGATATTTAAATTACAAATCGACTTCATTATGAAGAATTTGAATCTCAATAGGATTCTACTAAAGTTACTAGCCGAATTCTTAGAAAAAAATATTGTACTATAAAGAGGATATGTATTTAATTAAAGTTTTTATAAACATACCCTAATATATAGAGCATATCTTTATTAATTTTATTTTTATATTCTTTTTGATATATTATTCGAGGCTATTATATTATTTCATAGACATGAATATCTGTGAAATTAGATTTGAAGTAAACTAAGGTGTTAGATGTTATTTTATTTATAGAGTTTTTACGCCAAATTAAAATAAATATAACTTTTAGTTGAGACTAATAGCGATTCAAATTGTTAATTGAAAAACAAACTAGTTCAACTAGTTGACTAATCGATTGGAAAATTTTGAACGAACTAATTGGGTCGATCTCATGCATCAATATTTATGATCTTATGCATCATTATTTATTCTATAAATTATTTGATATTGATTATCCTCTAGAGATGTGGCAGTATAGTTACGATTAAGGCTACAGATATTAGAATATCAAATAATATCTGGCAAAAATATAAGTAAGCGATGTATGGTTGTCATTACCCAAACTTTATATAAAATAGAGAAACAAAAAGTAGTAGTTACTTTTGATCTTTAAAATGTCTATGTATGTAGTCATGATTAATATGATTACATAATTGCACTTGCATATATATAATACCTCAAGTATCAATTTGTACCAAGTCTAAACAATATAAAAAATTAATTTGGATAGTACATTTAGATTAATTTTACCAATTGATATTTGGATGTTCGAATTAAAAATTAAGCATTTGAAGTTTATCATATATATTCTTACCAACTTTATATTTTGTCTGCACTAGTAATTTAATTATTAACTATCTTAATTTAAAATATGATCAATAATCATACATACCATATCTACAGGAAATTAATTATGACAATAGGATGAGAGTGGCTATCTTGATTTTTAAAACATCTAATAATTATATCCGTGTATAACAATTATATTTCACTTGATTTAAATATCAACGTAATATATATATTATTAATCAATATAATAACATTCTGAGTAGACAAATCATAAACTATCATCTTTTAAACTGTTAATTTAATTACGAATCTACTGCACATTCCAATATAATTTGATAGCTTGATCACAGATTAATCATAAAATTTCCAGGCAAATATATCTATAAAACGGTGTAAGGAATAAACTCAATTTATATATTTCTGTGATTATATTATATTTTTTCTAAAATTTTTATCTTATTTTTCAAACAATGTTTCATAATCGTTATATTCTTTTTAACTTTGTCAGAATTATATAAGATATCTATCTCGTATATTTAACATATCTTCACATGAAATAGTGAATGAAAGAAGTAACAGAACTAACGTCTCTAACAATGACCATATTAAAAGTGATTCTAATAACAACATATTAAGTAAAGAGGATTTCAATTATATTATTTCAAATTATGATTCTTATGATAATATATTAGATGAAAATGATAATGATATATTAAATGAAGACGGTACGTTAAGTGAAGACGGTATATTGAATGATGATGATTTGTTGAGAGATGATAATTTGTTAAGAGATGATTTGTTAAGCGATGATAATTTGTTGAACAATGAGAGTTTGTTGAAAGATGATTTGTTAAGCGAAGATGATTGGTTAAATGAAGATGATTTGTTAAGTGCAAACAGTATGATGAGTGAAGATGATTTGTTGAGAAAAGAAGATTGCAAAAGAGAAATTGTTGATAAATCTTTAAGTAATGAAGATATACTATCTATTAATAGAGAATTTGCACCATATTTCAGTAATATTACAGAAGCATTAATATTTTTCTGGATCCAGAAACATAATATATATAGGTTAAATGATTTATTTATTATAAATAATATATTTGTTTGCTAATTTTTTTTTTTAGCTACTTATGCTTATAACGACTTAGTAGACATAATTTATTATCTTCAATTCAAAAGTGAAGATGTTGTAAAGAACATTAGAAGATTTAAAAAATATAGGCAAAAACTGCCTTTACTTAAAATTAAATCATATCAAGTTCACATTTCTAACAAAAAAACACCATCCACATCAAGAGATACTAAAAAGGTATATTGTTTATCAATTTCTGATATTATTTGGTATACTCTTAATAACCCTTTGCTATTCAATACAATATACTTTGGTCCAGATCAAGAAGTTACAGAAATTATAAATTATAGCATAGCAATATTTGGAAGGAATCACCAAGATTTAGACAGGAATCTGTTACCATAAATGAAGATAATTATTTGAAGCATCATCAATCCAATGTAGTATAGTAAGATTAAAAAAAATAGCTACACAAGATTAATTGTAACATAGTAATTTGCAACAACTTAGTATAATAAACTGGTCAAACAAGATAGATAATTAAAGACTCCTCATGTTTTAATTAATTTTTCATATCAATTTTTTTAATCACATTTTGATTAATGATTTTTCATTTGCTTTTTATTTATTTTTTTTATTTATTTTTTATTTATATATATATATATATATATATATATTTATCTATTTTATTTTTACTTTTTATTTATTACTTATTTATTATTTTATTTAATTTTAAATGCACATTAATATTTTATGTTTATTAGTAAAATATTATGCTGAGAACTTTGTAGTTTATCAAGAATTTAAAAAAAGAATCGGTCATATTTTATTAATAGTTCTAAAAAATAGCAGATTTAATATCAACATTCAACGTATTATAACATTCAAAGAGTTACCAAGAGATTTACAGAGTAATAATCATAAGGAAAAATCAATAAGAGATGAAGTCTGGATGTTGGATCGATATTTAAATAATGCAATTATAACTACAGAATTGCGAACAGTTATAAAGTATATTATGATTACAATCTTATATGATAATAATATAAATAACCTTTCTTTAATCATAATCTATGAGATATTATATAAGCATAACAATTACTAGAAATTAAAAAATGTTATCTATGCTTATAAACATCTCTCAGAATTTGCTATATTAAAAAAACCTATTACAAGTTTTTCTATTTATAAACCTTTACTATGACAATTTCAGTATATTTCGCAATGTTTATCACTCATTGGGTAGTGTTTATGTTCAAATTGGAAATATGCGGTTTGATCAAAAAAACAGCTTAAGAACCATTTCGTGCTTAGATTTGTACCATTCGGTGGTTCTTTCAATGAATTTATTAGCCTTTTTATTGCTAAAATGAGACTTTTAGAAAAAGGAAAATAATGAAAATGCAAGATATTAAAAGTCTTGTAATTGCAAGCCTTGAAGATATAATGTTCGATTTGCTACAAGGAAATGATTTGGTTAGAGTTAAAAAGCATAATACAACAAGGGGTTGCTGTACTTGTAATATAGCCAAAAATTTGTAGATATCTGATAGCATTGATTTGTTCATGAATTCTCGTTATCAGCATTTAACGAATAAATAGTTTAAAGAGATCTCTGCTATGTTGACTATAACAGAGCAAAAAGAAATAGCTTTAAGATATGGATTACACTTATATTTGTCGATACTCAACCAACTACAATGAAAAAGTCATCTTCAATCACCATATGATATGTACTATACCACAGCTAGTAAAGTATTAAGGCTCCTTAAAATAATACTTAATACTTTTTCAACAGAGGAAAAATTAGTATTTATTTCAATTTAGAAATTATTTGAATATCCAAACAATTGGTCCAAGTTACCAAACCCAATATCCCATATCGATAGTTTTATAATATCTGACTGTTTAAGACTAGTAATAGTATTTTCTTTTATTATTAACAAACTATTGAAGGTTCAATACTTTAAACACTCAAAACTGCAACAAACTCTTTCCGACGATCATCTGGTCAACAAAAATCAAGAAACCAAACTACGGTCAGCGCTATAGAAGACGCTAAAATAAATAATAAACTTGGTTCTATGAAAGTAGGTGTGTTGTCGACGAAGTACCAAGAGTGTAAAACCGAGGAGCAGACTACTTTGGACTGGTTTTTGTAGA